AAGTTTGTTCGCGACAATCGTCCTGTCCGTGATGATGGGCCGGTCCCAATAGAGCCTGGCGCGGTCATTTTCGAGCACGGCCTCCGGAGAGTACTTGTAGTACGGCAGTTTCCGTTCCACGAGTCCGTATTTCAGAGCGAGCTCCTGGTGTATAATTCTGGCTACTAGGTTGTGTCTATGCAGATACTCAGAGTTAGAAAGCATGGAACAACCGGAGATAACATGCCGTAGCGACTCCCCGGGATGGCGACAAGCTCGACAGATGTCGACGGTGCCATCCCTTAGGATGTATCTCCGATAGTTGTTCGTCTTAATAACCTGATCCTGTATCGCACAGACAAAACCTTCGGTTTCCCCAAAGAGGTCACCAAAACGTAGCCAGTTAAGGGAGGCAACGGTATCTACAAAAGGCTCGTGTAGAGCCTTGTAGAACCTGCCGTGGAGCTCTTTCTCCTTCCATACAGTCTCTCGGTCGGAAACGCTCAGTACTCCCGGGTCCTGCCATTGCTCGTTGGCTAAGGATAGAGGGGTAAGTCCTTTATCACAACTAATAACGTCCGTGTAGATTGATTCATCCGATCTCGCCAGAAAGTAGTTACGGAGGCTGCACACCTCGCGATTGGGCATGGTGAGGGCGCTTAAAAAGCCCCTCCTGCCATGCTTCCGCGGCAGGTACAGCCTCATCACTGACGATCTCGGATGATGCATTCTGTGGGACGTCATAGTTGTGCGGACTTTTCGATCCAGGGCGTTGAGCTCGGTTTGAGTCCACCTGAGTATGCCAAAGGTATACATGAGGACTGGCATGACCCAGCCGTTAAATGCGCGTGCCTTGTTCACGCCTGATAAATGGCTGATTATTATTGGGGGGATATTCATTTGTTTTCTCGTCTGGTTGGGTTTATAAATAAAAATAAAAATAAAGATATAGATATATATTGCATATATAAAATAAATATTATGGATAAAAATAAACATATATATATATATATATATATAAATAAATATTTTATATAATACATATATAAATAGGACCCAACCAGACGGAAGCCCTCGGCAGGGGAGACCAAACGGCCGAGGGTTAGGGCGAAAGGGAGAGAAACCGGCGGACGATGCGGGCGGTATCGAGGAGCACCGCCTTCTGCATTTGAGCCTGGAGCGATCCGTCCCGGAGTCCCAGTCGCCTCAGATGTTTAGAGAGGCTGACTGGGATCAACCCATTCGCAGACACGACTATCGGGATAATTTCGGTCGGCACACCACCCCACATGTCGGTCACCTCGTGAGCCAGGTCCAGATACTTCGTCTTCTTATCTGTTTCGGCTTTCACGAGGTTCTCGTCATATGGAATGGTAATGTCGACCAAAAATACCCGCGACTGTGCCCGGTCCATCAACACGATATCAGGTTTGTTCGCGACAATTGTCCTGTCCGTGATGATGGACCGGTCCCAATAGAGCCTGGCGCGGTCATTTTCGAGCACGGCCTCCGGAGAGTACTTATAATACGGCAGTTTCCGTTCCACGAGGCCGTATTTCAGAGCGAGCTCCTGGTGTAGGATTCTGGCTACTAGGTTGTGTCTATGCAGATACTCAGAGTTAGAAAACATGGAACAACCGGAGATAACATGCCGAAGCGACTCCCCGGGATGGCGACAAGCTCGACAGATGTCGACGGTGCCATCCCTTAGGATGTATCTCCTATAGTTGTTCGTCTTAATAACCTGATCCTGTATCGCACAGACAAAACCTTCGGTTTCCCCAAAGAGGTCACCGAAACGTAGCCAGTTCAGGGAGGCAACAGTAAATTAGTAAGTTATTAGTAAGGTAGTATTAGTAAGTTATTATTAATAAAATGATACATCATAATCAAGTTAATGCTCATCAATCCATCTTCTTGCGCATTATTAATTCGTCCATATTATATTTAAGTGTATGAATTATCTTATACCTTTAAACGAGCAATTCTTGTACATATATATATATATATATATATATTCATATACATATATATTCTTTACCTATATATATATATATATATATATATATATAGGCAAAGAAAATTCTTATAGGATTAACGTTGACATCAGGGCATTATACAAGACAACATACAACAAAGGCATAACTTTTATACCGGTTAATGTTATATGTTTACATGTATAGTATTTTTACTATTATGACTAAGAAAATGTTCATAATCATTTTAGCCCGTTTGAGTCCTCTGTTGAACATAGGCCTCCCCCACAGACCACAACGACGCACGATCCATCGACTTACCGCACACTTGCACAGCTTCTCACGTCGGCCTACACTAAATTTTTGACTATGACAAATTAATAAGAAACGCATACATTTAAAACAGTCACTATATATAACTTTAACAAATCGGGAACTAAAATCAGCAAATGTTTTACTTTTGTACGAAAAAAGTCCATTGGTAGAGGTCCACTGGTAGAGGTTTAGAGTGCCAGACTTCAAATCAACAAAAAGGTATTTTTATTTGCTGTAAAATAACCTTCAAACATTTGCTACTAAATAAATCATCATTCTTCTTATACATATATAAGATATATATAAGATACGTCTTAAGTCTTCAAAGGTTGAATATTAATAAAAGTATCATAAATAATGAGGCATAAATTTATACTAACTCATATATTTTGGTTAAGAAAACTAAATGCGGTCAGTATGTTTTGCTACAATTGCTGGGATACTCTGATCCTTTTGTGTTTGAAATTTTAAACTTCTTATGATTATTTTTATACTGTCAACCATTGGTTGTAAGCTTCTGATCATTTTGTGTATTTTGTTACTTTCTGGGATCATTGCGTGAAATTGCAAAATTATTTAGGTAATCATAAAAAGTTAAATTCTAATTAATATAACATTGACCAATTGACAAAATAATTTGGCCAATTATGACCAATTAAAATACATAAATTTAGATTAGATCTCTAGGATTCCCTCAACATTTTCCCAATGACCTTAGAAATTTTAACTCTTTGTAGTTAGTATAAAAGTATTGACTAATTGCTAAAAATCTCTGACTATCAATCACGAACATCTATGCCCATTTATAACCAATTCGGAAAACTATTTAAGAGTTCGTATTTCATCATTTGGGCCGCTGAATAGATGGCTAGGTTCCTTCTTTTACGTCGAAAATCGGAATTTAGTCGGAATTTTTAAATGGATTGTGGTACGTCTGTAGAGATACATAGGCTTTATCACATAAAGGAATAAATAAGTAAATTTAAATACAGGGACACCATACCCACGTATCTCATACTCATTAGACACGGGTAAGTAGACACTAGATGGCGCTTTATCATTTATAAAATGCTGTAAACGATGTGTTTTTTTGGTATTACGCTTAGGGCCGTCGTCTGACCGCGCTCCAGTCTATAGTAAAAATCTATACCCTTTTGATTTGACGGTTTGATGTTAATTCATTGATTTTTGCTTTTATTTTATTGAAATATTCTAATTAAGTACTTAAGTTCTGTTTTCCTTATTTTGATTACCCGATTGACGATAAACGTCTTTTGCTTTATCAAAATGCCTCGCAAACGTAAATCAAGTCTTTCAAGAGTATTGTCACAACCGATTAGCTCTTTCCATTGAATCTTTGTAAGATGATGAACAGAGAAGGGGCGAACAAGCAGAGGGCCCCAGAAAGTCAAAGTCAAAATCTTTATTCAATATAGAAGCATTGTACTTACTTATTGATTGTCAAAAAAACTACTACCGGTTCGGAAAGAAAGCCATTGACTTGAGAAGAACCAGCGAAAGAAACAGCGGGCCATTTTTTTATTTTTTTTACTTGACAAAAATTACAAACATGTGTACAATTTAATAAATTCCACTTGAAAGAGCCTGGAGCGATCAATTTATTTCCAGAGTGTGTTATCATTCAAATAATCTCTAATACTATATAACACACAAACGTTCCTTTACAAGTTTTTTGAATTTAGCAACAGATTCATTTTTAACGTTTTCTGGGATTTTGTTGTAAAAGCTTATACATTGTCCCATAAAAGATTTACTTATTCTACACAATCTAGTTGCGGGTAGAATTAATTTATGCTTGTTCCTATGATTAAAACATAAAAAAGTAACCCATAAAAAAGAGCACCCGGACACTGAGCTATCACGGCTCTATATGTACTGAGTATGTATGTACTGAGAAGCTACAGTCAATATTTTTATTTCTTTAAACAAATTTCTTAGTGAATCTTTGGGGCCCAGTGTATAAGCCGCTCGAATAGCTCTCATTTACAGGTTGAAGATAGTGTTTATATCGGCCGCATTTCCCCAAAGTAGAATGCCATAGGACATTATACTGTGGAAATAACTAAAATATACCAGACGAGCCGTATCCACATCAGTGCACTGTCTAATTTTTTTAACCGCGAAGGCTGCTGAGCTATGTCTACTAGCCAGTTTATTAATATGGGGGTCCCACTGCAATTTTGCATCTATAGTTACGTCAAGGAATAAAGTAGAGTCAATTAGGTCTAACGCTGCTGTGTTTTGCAATGGAAAGATGTGACCGCAGGTAGGTATGTGCTGCTCCAGTGGGAAAGTTTCCTTTTTTTTTGCTTGGTGAGAAAGAAGTCTCAAGACTCTTTTTATATTGTTTTCTTGATTTTACGCGAATATTATACATATTAAATTCTCTTATTCTTTTTTTTAAAACATTGCCCTTACTTTGGTATGACATTACCCTGTGTTTTAAGGACGTTCTTTTTACAAACATAAATTTCACGCGGACAAACAATCTATGGGTCACACAAATAGTTGTCCCGTGTGGGAAACGAACCTACGACCCCAGACGCCCAAGTCCATCCCCAGACGATACCTTGGCGACTGCGCCACGGAGTCGTCAATTTTGTGAAATGAAACTAGTTTACGGATTTTATCGCGTTTTTTATTTTGATTTGAACTCCAGACGTTTCGAATCCTTTCCATTTAACTCTTTTTATATGACATTGATTAGTCATGGCGCGGCGCTTTGTAAATAGAAGCTGGAAATTCAACTCATGTACGTAACGTATGTATATTTAGGTGGCTCTAGTAATTTCAGAGAGCTATGTAAGACTTTATCGACGACAAAGAAGACTTTATATGACTTCTGTAGTATACCCAGGCGGAGAAGTTCCGACGGTTGCGTTTAACCATTTTGCTAATAACCGCGTCAATGAGAAGCGGTTCTTTGGTTCCACGACCGCCGTCCCGACGTCCACTCTGAGCACGAGACGTGATCCGATTCATATTAATATGCCGGGTGATTCTCATGCTCACAATAGATGTCAGTGTCTTATAGGTGGTAGACACGTAATGGGGCGGTACTTACTCGGGTCTGTGGTAATCTGATCTTTAGGAACCAAATGAGTGACCCCAGTAGTAAAGGGGCTCGGAAGCGACCTCTGATTGAGAGCTTCTTGGAACTGAGGGACTTTTCCATTCGTGCAAACCAATCATTAAAACAGTAATCCCAGTCTGAAGTTGATGTTGACAAAATGGCTGATTAGTACGCTTCCACAGCTGCTTCGGGGTCTTCAAACCGTTGATTTCGTAGTAAATTGTTGGTACGTAAGCGGCGTATTCCACCAGCGGCGGGTACCGATTTTTGGATCCGAGAGGATCCTGCGGAAACCAAGCCAACTAAGGTGGGGATGATGGATACCAGCAAACCAACGGGTATTATGGATGAACATGTGTGGCAGTTTTCATTTATCATCAAGTGAATCATCTGCTTCCTTGGCAACTTTTCTCGTAAAAAAAAAGTAAATATAAGAATAAATCAATTCAAATTAAGCTCAATAAATATAGGAAATTATATTAATCAATAGGAAATTATTACATAATTTTACATCGTTTGTTAGTTTTGGCAAAAGCCCCATGGAGATTTATATTGCAATGCAAATACTGCGGTTCCTAAAGAAATAAATAAAATTTTGAATTTTGGCAAAGCGATATCTAGAGGTGTATAATTAAATATCATTCGGATTTGGAATGTGGCGTCGTGAAAAAATGGGAATTAGCATAAAATGCAAATCTCAAGTCGCATGCTCCCAATGAGAGTCAGCCATGACACGAGTAATTAGACGGTTGCTGATACGGGACTGAACTTCTTTGTTGTCGCTTAATTGTCTCACCAGTAATCAACTTTATCTTTTATTTGGTTACTGTGACAAAGCTAGATTATGAAACGGAAATGACCCGTGGCATAGCGTTTTGTATACCGAAATTGCCCTTATGTTTAACTATTTGAATAGGTCTCATTTTGTCTGTTGGTTTTTCCAAATGAAACCGTGATAAATTCATCTGGCGTTTTTTTAAACGCAAACTCTGAAATAAAACATTCCCTACAAACCGTTTTCTGGACATTTATTTCTGAATGTTATAAATACCCCACGTTTATTCACTCAGATGACGCCAAATACGATATCGGCCGAAGAAAATTCAGTTCACTGGATCTGAATTAATATTTATGACTCTTCCGAAGTTACGCAAATTTAAGCAATAAGAGCGACGTTGCACGGGTTCGAGGGTAGTTGCTTCGGATTCACCACGAAGGCAATATTGTGACGCATGTGCACGTTAGCTTTATATAACCGCGGGCTCCAAAAACGGGCGCGTTCCATGGAATAGCGTCCGTTAGGAAACTTTACTCATTCATCTTTTCCCTAAAAGCGGGGTGCTGGTGGGAGGAGGGGCGCGCTGCGCTACTCCGCGCGTTACATAACGCTGGAGGGTGACGCCGATTCCTATTCGAGCCGCCCTGGCGTGCGGTCCTCTCCTGCCTCGCGGCTCTCGAACTCGCAACAGTTAGCGCCGACCCCGACAGTACCGGCTTCGGAACCGCGGACGCCCGCGGCCACGCGCCTCCAACTCGCGTGTCACCTCATAAATAGCCGCGAATCGTTCTTGGACAACACTTTCTGACTTCAAACTTTACTTCTTCACTGTCGACTTCTTCTCGACGAGCGCGGTAAGCCTATGTTTACTATAACTCTTTAATCGCGTGTTCAATCTGTTTGTTATATAACATTTTTGTGCGTCAAAACTATATTTGATATTGTTTTGAAATTGCTGCGCTACTCTTTCCCCTTCAAGTTTTTACAAAAGGTCCGATTTAATTTTAAGCCAGGAAATATTATTTATTAAAATATTTATTTTATTGGCCAGCGAAAGGATTATAAAAATTTCTATTTGTTATAGCTATTTACTCGTAGCACTTGAACTTTCTTTATATTATTCAAACATCATTTTCTAGTTTAAAAGTTTCCGGCGGCGATGCTTAAACCAAAAGTTGTGAACGTGAAAATTAAAATTTTTGTTTGGGATTTTAATAGCACCAAAAGCGGCGGTTAAATGTTGAATAACTTTTGTTTAAAAACTCCTTACAAACAATTTACCAATTTAAATGGAAGTAAAATTAACTGTATTTTAATAAGAATACAATTTTTTCTCGGAATATCTTTATTTCTAAAAGCGTTCATTATTCTTGATCATTAATATCTGTCTTTGTTTTTCTGTACACTGTATAAATAAATTAACGTTCGTCATAAATTATAAGAGTTCTAACTCATGCGTTTATATTGTACCCGAAAAGGGATCTTAAATTTTAATTGAAACATTTTTGTAGTTACTCTGAAAAATGACTACGAAAATTGACATCGAGATTATTAATTTTTCTACAACTTATTAACATACAACTTTTATTGACTTCCTTTTTGTTATTTACGGAAGAAAGTCAAATATAACAGTAAAAGCCTCGTAACAGGTTACGGCTACGAATACGCGTAGCGCGTAGATATTCCGTAGAGCGCTCATAAAGTTTCTAAAATCTTTGCTGGACTTCCTTTCTTTTGTTGGCTCTGATTAATATTTCAAAGGACAACTACGAAGCTAAACCTCTTGTTACGTAAGGCACCTTTTAAGGCCTTTGTTCCATTCTTTGTTTGTTCCACGATCTTCATTTGGTTTAAAAAATAGTAATAGCCAAAGTAAATAGATTTGCTGGTTATGCGTGAAATAACTCTGATTTTACCCAATAAATTGAATTATGTTTCAAAATTTCAATTCCCTTCCATTGTTAAATTTATTTTATAATTATAGTCTCAAGTTAGTTTTAAATTATTGTCAGTAATGAAATTAACGTTAATTATAAAATTTTACTTGTGACATTATTTTTTTTTATTATATTTATTTAAAGGAAATAAGGAATGAGTAATATAGTTTTCAGCGGCCAACCGTTCATATTATATGGTTTATCTCTTTATCTCTAGAGACCCAAAATATAATTATATAATTGATTACACGAATAAATCTGCCCCAATGCCCCTTAAGAAATTAACTGATAATTTATTTTTGTAGATGTGTTCAATTTAGCTACAGAAATAATTTAGTAAATATAATGATATAATTAGGTCCATAATAAGCTGTCTACTGTTCTAGTACAATGCTAATACTATTATTTTAAAAACTTTTGATGAAATGTTGGATGATCGGATCACTGTTGACACCCGATAGAACTATATGAAATTGATTAGCTGTTGCAATCTCTTTTCATCCCACCAGAGACACATACGAACTTGTATTTAAAAAAATTAATAGCAGAAAATTGAAGTTAATAAAACATACTTGTAGTTTAAATAATGATTTGTATTTAATCAATTTGATATTGCATAGAGTTTTGAAATAATTTAAGGTGCAATGACAAATTCGTTAAATGACAATTCGAAAAATTAATACATTATATAAAGTACAGGTGAAGTTTATAGTCGGGATTTACTTTGGAAGAATTTTAAGACAACTTTGCTTCTGTACATTACCTTGTATATTATTATTGTGATAAATTAGTGTCCGATCACGCGAATTAATTCAATATATTCTGAAATGATAATTTGACTTCAAATCCCGGTCCCAGCGCCAAATAAATCGTAACTTGTACTTTAGGTACACTTAAGTTCTTATTTCCTAACTGGTATAGCTATGAAGACATGAATCGTGTGGAGACACACGTATATGAAGAAATAATCCCTACTATTATGTTAAAAATGTGAATGTAAGTTTGTTTCTTACGCTTTCAAGCCAGAGGCCAACCGGTTATCATTAAACTTTGTACACATATTCTTAGAAGAATTAAAAGGACTTTTATTTTTATTTAAAAAAAAATCAAAAAGGTATTTATTTAAGGGTTTCTACCCGAGCGAAGCGGCGGGAAAAACTAGTTAAAAATATTTCAAAGATATGTTTGCTATACCAATCGACAAATAGTCACGTGGAACAAACTATGCACTAATACTCTGCACAGTCGAAGCCTTTGTCTAGCAGTGGAGTATATACGTACGCTTTTAGCTATCTCATATTTCTTTGTTATTACAATTATTGCTTTGAGAGAATTATTATTTTTAAAGGTAAAATTTAATGTATTAAGAAGACGGTAATCAATCGCCTGGGAACTGAAATATGACAACTATTTCTAATTACTTCGCAAAAAAAAAAAAAATCAACAATTTCATTGGTGCTGGCAACGGGAATCGAATTCAGGTTCCTCGACTAAATGTAATTAAAGGCGAGTGCCCGGACACTGAGCTATCACGGCACTTATGGTAGAGCTTCAGTATGGCCACGTTAGGTCGATCTTGCCACACGAGTTACCTTCAATCGCTCGACACAACAACGCAACTTATTTATAAATCTGGCTTGTATTTTGATTGAATGCCACTACTATATGAGAGCTTTCTATGCTTCTTGCTACCAGTACTTTCAAATATCATCAAATCAGATCTACGCATTTTAAGTACTTCGTAATGTTAAGATTAGACGTAAAGATTTTATCGCTTAAACGTTGTAAAGTTGAAAGTAGGTATAAGGTGGACGTTAATAGTTAAAATATAGGAAATATTACAAAAATAAACTAATTCATATCTAGTATGAATGGTGATTACAGCTAGAAACGTAGTGCGTACAGATTCGGTGATGTTGTTAGTTTATTCAAAAATTCGAAATATTAATGTTTTGCAATTCTGACGACGTCAGTTGGGTCTGCAATAAAATTAGGAAACGTTTGCATTTTATTACAATGTCTAAAATATTAGCTGAGGTTTCACATAAAGTAGGTACTTAGGGGATAAATCAATAACGCTTCAAGAGCATTTTTCTAAACTTCATATGCTTTTGTTGAGGTATTTTCTACGTTGATGTGAGTTACTGGAATTTTCACAGTTATGTAAGTTGCGGATCAAGACAGTACTGAGCTTTAATGTGAATTATGTTATCTTATTTCTATATAAGTAATGAATATAAATTACAAAATAGATACCGGTTGAAAGTTATATAAGCCACAAAAAGCTTTATTAAAAGTTTAAAAACTAATCACATAACGGTTGAAGTTGATGTATGTGCAACGAGATTTCACCGAACGAAAGCTGCTTACATATTAGGTCAAGTGTATTGAAACTAATCAGATAAGATTATGTTATCGTGTCAAACATTCGTGTGAACTTTTGAAAAAGCTCTTAGCATAACAAGTCTTATATCCGGATCGTGTTAAAATTTAACTTACGAATAGGTTTTTTCTCGTAGATTACGTATATAGATTGTAAACGAATAAATATTATTTTTATAACTTATTGCTATGGTTTTTATTACATTTATTAGCACTCCCGTATCAATGCTACGAGTCCCTCATATGTACGCGTAGGTAAAACCAAAATTTCTTTCTTTAATGTAAATGCAATATATAAATGCTCAGTGACTAAAACAAGCAGTTGTAGTGTTCTAACTTTTCATATATTGATAATTCTCAACGTGGCTTTGTAACTGTTAATTTTATTAACTAGTTAACAATAGACATTTATTCTAAAAACTACTTCCTTCAGTACTCCGAGATTATTCAGCGTTTAATTTGTGAATAAATTCGAAGATTAGTTGGATCGCAATATAAATTACACTGCAAAACTACTTTTGGTTTTAATTGCGTAAACACATACTTTATTATATTACACATATACCAAACTTTTAGACAGGGCCACATTAAGAGCAATTATAAAGTCCCTGCAGGAGTATCCATGCTCTCCTTACTCTAAATTATTATTATGTAAAAAGTTTTATGTGGGCTTTATACCAAGTAACTTTATGGAGCGGACGTCGTGGGGGAACCCCGAAAAATATTCGTGCTTCCATTACACTTCGCAGTTTTTCTTTTCCATTTATTCTTGCTTACGTAATATTACTTACACATTTGCATTAAAATTGAATAATGAGGTATTCGACTATACGATAGTTATAATATCGTTAAAATTTGAATAAAAACCCTTAAAAAAATATATGAACATATGAAATATATGTTCCGAACCGGTGGTAGCTTACTTAAGAACGTATTATTTTTTTATGTAAAATGTTGACGTCTCATAAGAACGCGCAAGCGTCAATGTGAATAAATATATTTTTGATTTTGATTTTTGATGAAGACGATTTAGACTTTAATTATAAATTATGTGTTTAACTTATTTACAAATCAGGACAGACTAAGTATTTTCACATCCTTATGACATAGTTAAACTATACTACCATCAAGTTTTTAATGATCGATCAGCCGTTGTAGATCATGAGGTCTGGCAGTCTTATTGTGCTTGGATTTAATTTTATAGACCATACATGCTTAGATTGCATGAACAACCAACCATTTTCTTGTTATATGACTTAGGAAAAAATAAATAAATATGAAACTAAGGATTTTTCTTTAATTCAACCTGTGACGACCAATTCCTGCGAATCATGATTGAGTGATCAATGGTTGTGGTCCAAAACGTGTTCAAAACGTCTGAATAGCTCTGCAACAATCTGAAGAATAAATTGAAACCTAAGAAAACTGCAGAATGTAAATATAGTGTACATACAGCATACACATAAATATGGGAAACCATTATTTT